AAAATTTTTTTTTTTTTTTTTTGAGAAATACGTGTGATAAATATGTGATATGCTAATAAACAGTTAAATTGCACGATCACATTATTTATTTATTTTTATTTTATATTTAAAATAAATTTTTTTTTAAACAAAATTATAGAAAATATTTTATAGCGATCTGAATGTGTAGTATTAAAACACGGTTATATATCGTTGGCGTAGGAAAAGAGCAATCGACCAAAAAAAAAAATTTTTTTCAAACAATTTTATACAATTATTTTTGTTTTTAAAGATTATAACTGTAGAGGTATTTTAACTTAAGTTACAACTTTTAACATTAAGAGTTTTATCGTTGAACAACCAATTCTACGAAAAAAATAAAAATATTTGGGGGTTAATATGTCTTAAACTGAACATTTCTTTTGAATTAACGAATAAATAAAAAGACGCTAAATTAGCGCGGCATCTATCCGTGTTAAAAGAAAACTGTTGAAATCGAATGTAGGACTCTATTGCGCATGCGTTGTGACATACCATTTGATGGTAAACATGGATAACAACTGCCTGAGATAGTGTTTTGTTTATTTGTACTCGCTTTTGATTACAACCCGTTCGTACTGAGTGATATCGTTGTTTCTTACTGTACAATTTGGCTGTTACTCATATTTCGTCTCGTATTAATTTGGTTATTTTTTTGTATAATTTAGATGATTAAAGTGTTTAAGTTTTTCTCATATAAAATATAAATTATTCTCATTAGTTTTTTGATTTGTTCAATTTTTTGTATTATTAATTTAATGCCTAATTAAATGTGATGTTCATACTTGTGATCAAAAGATGAATAGTCGACCGTCTTATTATCATAACCCTTCATTGTTCTCTAATAATTCACTAGCTATATGTAAAGAAATTCAACGATTTGAAAGCGTTCATCCGTCTATCTATGCCATATATGATTTAATTGATCTCATACCAGACCCTATTGTCGCTCAACAGATCCGTGATCATGTAGTTTGCATAGAAGGTAAGATTATTTTATCAAATAGTTTTTTAATAATTTAGTTAATTTAATTTACAAATTATATAAGTAGAATAGAAAAAAAATCCTGTGACAGAATAGCTTTTAAATTATACTTATTTCAATCTTCGTATAGTGTATATGAAGACATTGTAACACTGTACACCTTGTCTCATTCATATAACGTTTACAGTAATTTGTGCCAGTATGTTTTGATATATCTTATCATTATTAAAAAAACTAAGTAATGCAAATTGAGAATAATTAAGACTAATATTTAATATCTAATATTGTATTGATCAAATTACTTTAGAAGTATTAGCTATTATTTAAAAAAAAGTTATTATCTATGTATAGAAATTATTAATTTGAATTATTTAAAGTAATTATAAAACCCCTATAGCTAGCAATTTATATTATAGCATCAAATATAGTCAAATGAGTCTTAATAATTAGTTTTTACTAATTTATTAAAGAATGTCAAAGGTTAACTTAGTGTAGTTGTCTGTCATTCATGAAAGAACATGAATGACTAGGACCATATTATATGTAATTAACAATTTCTGTTTCTAATTATTTGAAAAATTTATTCTTTTAAAGAATTTTTGTATGAACCGTATGTCATATAATTTTATATTAAAAAGTAAAATATTATATTCATATTTTTCATTAATCCTTTAATTTTTTGTTTATATTCCTTATGATACAAAACTGAATTTAATGTTATTGTAGTTGATTTTCTTCATATTTGTTGATTTTTATTATTTCATTTATTATAAATTCAAAAAGTTTAAAATGTTATATTTAACATGTATATCATTTTATGCATTTACTGGTTTTTTTAGATAAAGATTTTCTATTGTTGATATAAATTATAAAGTAATGCCTAAAATGGAACAAATCGTAAATTGCTCAATTTTATTTACTATATATTTGAAAATGATTACTATAAAATCATGTTATTTTCTTCATTGATTTAATTTAATAACGTTCAAATTTAGTACCAATTTAATAATAAATCAGATCATGTTATCTGGTATCTAATAAAATCTTCCGCTTTTACAAATTGTAACCAATTGACCCAATTTTTCGTATTTGCATTTTCAATGTCTCTCTCTTCTGTGTTCTTCTATCGACCCCAACTCAAAAACCGGTTGCACGTCCGCGTTGTTGACTTAAAAACAAAATTACAGTAGGTACGATTGGTATTCACGAATTGACAGTGTGCGTTATCATACACAATCCATATATCAAATAAATTTCTTGTATAATATTATAATAAAAATAATATTAGGTATTAGGTTTTGTACAAAAAAACATTGGTTTATAATACTAACACTATGTATATTAGTCTATGAAAGTTGTAGTTTAGTTCTGAAGTTCGAATAAAAATTAAGTACAATTTATGTTAAAACTTGTCGCTTATAAATATCATGAAATGCAAACTCTAAGCCAATTCTTTAAACACGAAATTTATTTTGAAAAAATATTATAAATTTAAATTTAAAAAAAAAATGTCAATTTAAAAATATCGTATTTAATCTTAACATGTTAAAAAAATGTTTTTTTTACTAGATATGCTATAGGTGTTTTTTTTTCATCAGGTAATTGGCAACAGTGTAGCTAAAGTAAATACATATGTAACTTAGGTAAATATTATTTATTTTAATTTTCGTTTTATTTTAAATTTAGATTTTACACACCTACTCGCTGTTTATTATTTAACAGGCATTTTATTGGAGTAATTTTTTCATGGTTTATATAAATAAAAAGTTTTGGCATTTAAAGATTTATAAAAAATACTGTTGATATAAATGTAAAATTAAGAGTTAAAAATGTGTTTATTTTAATTAGACTGGGATCCTGAGCCATTTTATATCATTATACCATACTTAAGTGAAGGATTAATATAAATATATATATATACATATATTAATACCACAATTGACTTTACCTGGCCCTAGTTGATTTAGGCTGTAGTTCCGCCTGTATCTTCAGTAAATCGTGATAAACAAAACATGTACGCTTATTAATATTTATTTATAATTACAATTATCAGTAAATTGGTAATCTATTTATAGGTAAAAAAAATTGCGCATTTAATTTTTTTTTTTTTTTTTAAATTGTTAAATTCTAGTTGATATGGTGACAATAGAAGTAAAATTTACCAATTATAATTCTGTTTTTTTCGCCATAGCAACGATCTAAAATAATTTTTGAATGATGTTTAAATAGGTCTGTAGAATAATTTCAAAATGAAAAATGTTTAAAGGAAATCTTGAATTTTAGCCAAAAACATGAAAATGAGATTTTTAAATCATTATTTTAATTAGAATGAAAAATAAATAATTTTTTTTTATTCATACTAAGGCTGGTTATTGGTTAATTTTACGCTGAATTTCAGTTTAATGATTAATTTTATTGTTGGTAGATGATATAGTTTAGATGAATGTTACATTATTTATTAATTTATATACATTTCATTGTATTAATAGTTTTAATCGAAGTTGAAACTATGAGTGGAGCTGTTTATAAGTTTTTAAAAAAATATGATATGAATTTATTAATGATAATACTTCAAAAAGTTAAATGCCTAAATCAGTTTTTTGTGTAGAAAAAATGTTGATTTCTGATGAAGTACAGTACATCAATTTATATAAAAGATAACTACTATAAAAAAAAAATTTTCAGCAATAAAATAACGAAAAATTCATTGAATTCACAATATGTGCTATTAAGTATTATTCTGTATCATTTTAAATTGTATCGTCTTATCAAATAGTCAATAATAAAAAAATACAGAACTACTTAAAGTTTTCTTTCATTTAAATAAATTGCTTCCTGTTCATAAGTATTACTATCTATAGCCCACTCCTTTTTCAATCTAACGACATTCAAACATCCTTTAATAGGTGTAGCTAAATATTGTCTCGTGTATTGAGTTAAAATCAACTTAAAAGGATTTGTATTGATATTTCAGATTATACACAAATCTACTGTTTATGTGTACATAAATCGGTTCTTTTGAAATTCTAATTAATATAAATTAATTAAGTAAACAATTTTCAGTTTCTAAATAAAATAAAAAATTCCAAATATTTTGTTGTTATTGTAGAATATATATATATATTTTTTTCAATACTTGAAATTTTGCTAGAAACACAACTCGAAAAAAATAGTTAAATTAAAAATTGTTTATTTTCAACTTGATCATAACATTGGTTTTTAAAAGTAGTTACTATTTATCCTAGAATCCGTGAACTATACTATTATGTGGGTGACATGTGGGTAGAGGAATTGTCTGATATCAAATTGCTGCGGATGTTTTTACAGGTTATTAAGTATCTTGTCGATGACGAATATTTGTAATAGATCTTCGGCTCCCACTTGAATGATGCATTGATATATTAATATTTTTCATCGTGAAATTCAATTAAAGATTTTTGCTAGATTATTTCAAGTCTAATCCTATTAATGCATTGTACATTATATTTCAACTCACAAATGTTATAATGATGTAATTGAATGATAAAATGATTCTTTTCCTAATTGACAGCTATAAAGAAATTTTCTAAATTTCTTTACTACATAAATTCTACACAAGTCAACTCAATATTTTTTGTTTAAGATTCTAACAAAACTTAAAAATAGAATTAAATTTGGATAGTTTATTCTTATTCTGTAATTTTTAATACATTACATTGATGTTGTAGTAAATTTCCGTTCCCGCAACTAGTATTGTTTATTTTTTTTTAGGATAACATATTAGTATACTGCAATATGCGGGTCCTATTGGATTTATTTTCGAAAATGCAGGTGGCTTTTCTTTGTGGGATATTCTACCCGTGTTGTATGAGGAAAGAATTGTTACAACGATGTCCTATTTGCAGCTAACAATAGTGGCCTCGGTGTAAAAACACGAAATCGTGTATAGCACGAGAACTAACTGAAATCTCGGTGAACGATATACTTAGTATTTGTACCGTTACGGCTGTTCGAACAAAAAAATAATTACAAATAATACGATGGAGTCGTAGTAATAATTCGCTTCCGAGGAAATGTGCAGAGAATTATATGAATGATTACCACTCAAATAAAAAAACAGCCTGATTAGACGCGTAGTTAAAGAATAATGAATTGGTTGTGGGTGTTTATAAATTATCATTCTGTGATGCTATTATTTATTTAATTTTTGTAAAGAACTACAGTTAAGCTGTTACCGTAGTAGGTTAAATATTTGGCTCATCATCTTTTAGAAAATAGTAGGCATAAAGTTGAACAAGTTGTAATTTCAGGTATTTGATCAACTATGTTCATAAAAGACGACTTGCCTCTCTAAAAATATAGCGTTTAACTATGAAACGATATATTCAAAAATGTACAATAAAGAATATATGTTAGTTTGACCTTTTTCAGTGTATAGAACTAAAGAAATTTTATTGCGATTGGCTATTTATTTAATTATTTTAAGCTATTTAATTATTATTTTTGTATAATATTTACTATTACTTTTTATTAATTTCTATAAGTACTAATAATGTTATAAAAAATTGTAGAAAAATATTGACACTAATAAAAATTTTTCACTAAAATATAAAACTAATTCTAATATTTATCTTCTTTGTCAGTCAGTAATTGTTCTTAATAAGTTAAAATTCAATTAACAAAGTAATTATTTATAATGAGCATAGCTCGCATTTCTTTTCCTGTCTAGTGATTTATTCTTTTAATATTTCTACTTAAATTGTACCTAAGGCCATGTTGGCGTGTGGTTTCANTTCTACTTAAATTGTACCTAACGCCATGTTGGCGTGTGGTTTCAAGATTTTTAAACTGTTACGATAAAAAATTCAAGTATCATAGATTTAACACTTTAATATTATTTTTAATAATTTCGAATTAAAAATGAAAATTTGTATTATTTTAAATTACTTTTAATTTGTCTGAAAAACATATTTCATTTTCAATACACTTTTAAATAAATTACAATGGCTATAGATAGTGTT